CCCAAAGTTGCCCGGCAACATTGCTCAAAAAGTTGCCCCGTGTATTATCAGCCTTAGACGTTACTAAAAGTTGCTTTTAGCTTCTTTATAAAGGTCTCCTACTCTTAGAAAAGTCCTACTTGTAACTAAGAATTTTTTGATACTTAAGTCAAAGCTTAAGAGACTATTCCCAAGAGCATTTCTGATAAGTTTTATGCATATGGCCCCAGATAGACAACTTTAAAAACTTTCTTTGGTTGATTTTCTTCACAGGGGTTCTTTAAAGTAAGTATTAAATGAAAATTCACCCAATATGTATTCTAAATGCATGTTATAAGTCTTATTGTGAGCTATACACTACTTAAATTTTATCATGCATTTCATTTTATAATTTTATCATGACATGACAAAAAGTCTCAAAACAAAAAATATCGTACAATGGATAGTTCCCACTCTAAATTATGATTGAATGAGCCACATTAAAAGCTGATGTAAAATATATCTTGTAGCCATTCCTGTGACGGCCCACAAGTTGAATTCTACATTAACGTCACATTATGATGTTGCCTTGCTGCTGTAAGCAAATTTCTGCTTCACATTACACCTCATAATAACAAGTTCTTCCTGATCTTGTTTGGGACACATCTAGCTCTATATTTCCCCATTACGCCATGTTTCTTAGTTCTGACATGTAAAAACGCAAAGCAGTCCTGCCCCCACATAGCTACCCAAATATATCTAATGTTTGTAAGGTTGTTGTCAGGGCTTGAACTGATTGTGCTGATTTTCATTCTTGTTCTGATCTTCATTCTTCTCATCTCAGGTTGCAGACATAAAGCGGGCCAACAATCTTCTAACTGAGCAGGACTTCTTTGCACTGCGGTCCATAAGGATCCCTGTGAGAAAGTTTAGCTCATTCACAGAAACTCACAACACTGCTCCCCATAAAAGCAGCTCACCCAGTGGTACTCGCAGAATCTCTGAGATCCCGATTTCTGGAGCTTCCTTGGACTCTTCATCCTCTTCCTCATCTGTGGACAGCGTGGAGTGCTTCCTGCAGGAGAAGGACAAGGACATTCAACTTCTCGTCAAGTCATCTGCCCCTTCCAGGAGCAGCCTGAACGAGGTTGTGTCCTCACTGGAGCAGCCGCTTTTGGGAGATCCCGAGCGCAGACCAGCCCAAAAGAAAGACCCATACTATGGTGCTGACTGGGGAATGAGATGG